CGGAGTTGATTGCTTTGACCTTTCCCTTACCTCTTTCTAGAGAAAGTCCGAGCCGCTCTACTTCGGTACTTGCAACATAGTTGTGGGTAGCACCGGTATCTATCATAGCCATGATTGGCTTTTCATTGATCATCACATCAATGTACATCAGGCATTTCGCCCTACAAGTGCGAGCCTTCGATTCCTCCATTTTCGACTCTTTCGAGGGACCATCGTCCCTTTTAGTAACTCGATGCACTAGTGTATTGCACCGATGTGAGAATGCACCAACTACATCCTCGTCCTCTTCGGAGTCAATCTCGCCGCGACAGCTACCTTGTGGGGTACCTTGCTTTAATTTGGTCTTACCACTTGCTAGTTGGCAATATGCATTCACCATCCATTTCTGAAGACACTTCGCCACCTGATGTGGTCCTTCACATAAAAAGCACTTCAATTTTGGACTGGCATCAGATCTGCCATCCTTTGCTTTTCTTTGGTTCCAATTGTTATTCTGACGGTTGCCTTGATAGGCTTCTCCCCGATTATGAGAGCAACGCTCTCCCCCATTTGAGCTCGAGCTAGGTCTATGAGGTCTATTTCCACCTCTGATAGACTGACTATTTCCCGAATATCGATCATCTCTCAATTCTGGTTGATAGTCACTCAAACATTCGGCAGCTCCAATAGCTGTGCTTAAATCGGTGACCTTCTGTCTCTGAAGTTCCGTGCGCGCCCACGGTTCTAACCCTTCCATGAAGGTGAATAGCTTGTCTCTTTCCGACATGTCTCGAATATTCAGCATATGCCCGGAAAATGCTTTCACATACTCCCTGATGGAGCTTGTATGTCTCAGATCTCACAGCGCACGTCGTGCCTGATAGTCCACATTCTCAGGGAAAAATTGAGATTTGATTGCTTCCTTGAGAAGATCCCAAGAATATTCGGACCCTGTTGGCCTGAATATCAGCATACTTCGTCCGCCACCACAGTTTTGCATCTCCACCTACATACATGGTAGCTGTAGTAACCTTTCTCGCTTCGTCTTGAATCGAAGCTGGAAGAAAGTATTGTTCCATGTCGAACAAGAAGTTCTTAACTTCTTTAGCATCGCGTGCCCCTCCGTAGATACACGGTTCTGGAATTCTGAGCCTATGCATAGACTCTTGCACGGTGGCTTGCCCATTGCCGA